CGCTTTGTGCTCTTTGGACTTGACGTTCTTGCGTGGGGCCTCGAGCTCTGGGATCTCCCGGTGGTCGGTTGGGGTCTTCTTGGCGTCGAGCGTGGTCTCAGCCATGCGAATAGAGAGGTCATGAGCCTCTGCTATTTTGAAGTTGTCATCCTCGTAAGTGTAAGTTGCGTACACATTGCCCTTGAGAGTTAGAACCCCCTTCTCAGTAGGCATCTTGAGCATCAAATACTTGTAGTGAGGTATGTCCATGAACTTGGTGAGCGCTGGTCGACCAAGGATAGCATGGTAGGTGCCTTCGAAGTCGACGACCATGAAGTTGACGTAGTCGGTGCAAAAGTAGTCTGGGGTACCAAATTGCACAGGTAGCGTGATCTGCCCAAGAGGAGTAGAGCTCTATCCGGGGAGAACACCCCAGAACTATGCCTCGTATGGCTTGAGATCAGCCTGGGTTATCTTCAGAGCTGGCAAACTGTTCTTGAACAGTATATCAATGGAGTTGCCGCCGTCAATCAGCACTCTGTCGAACTGGACCTTGTTGATACAAGGATCGAGGACTAGAGGAAAACATCCTGGCTCAGGTATTGTGGCCCATTGGTCCTTTCTGCTGAAAGAGATCTCACGGTGAGACCAAGGAGGGAGCCATGGATCAGCGATGAGGTTGTCAGCGTTGGCCATGTTCAAGCAAGCGCGGGCGAGCAGCTTGCGTTCTCGTTTGGTCTCGATGGACACTTTGCCTCCAATGATGGTGTGGACGCGATCGGTTGGCTTGACGTACTTATGATGGGGATCTGCGTCTTCATCGTCGTCGTCCTCGTTGCGCTGTTCCCCTGCGTCGTTAGGCTTGTGGGACGTATTCGGAGCCTGTTGACGCGTGTAGATAGACTTAAGAACGCGGCAATTCTCCATGGTATGGTTCGACTTGGGGTGGAGCTGGCAAGGTCCTTTCAATGCTTTGGCATAGTCTTCTTCGTAGTTGCGACGTCCGCCACCTTTCTTAATGGTGTTGACCTCATCATCGTCTTCCCGAGCACGCTTGCCCGTGTAATCGTCATGGCGATTACGCCGCTGATTACGCTGGTCACGGTGGTCGCGGGGGTCGTTGCGCTGGTTGCGGTGATCAAAATTGTCGTTCCGACCACGGTTGTCGTGGTAGTCGTTGTGGTGTGGAGGGTGGTCGGAGCGTGGAACTCTTGCTGCCTCTTCGATGATTATCTTTTTAGCATCGTCGGCATCCGCATATTTCTTAGCAGTGGCCAGGAGTGCTGTGACTGATTCAGGTCTCTTGTGGAGGAGCTTGTCCCGTAGGGCATTATGGAAGCGAAGACCAGTGATGAAATCCTCAATTGCCTCTTTGTCGGAGATTGATGGGACCTTGATGCGCATCTCCGAGAAACGCCGGACGTACTTGCGTAGTGGCTCATCTTTCTGATCTTGAATCCGCTGCAGATCATATTTGTTGTCGGGTTGCTCGCAAGTAGCAATGAAGTTGTCGATGAAAGCTTGCTTGAGCTCTTGCCAAGAATCAAAGTAGTTCGCCGGCAGGCTGACCAGCCATTGGTGGCCTGCATGGCCGACAGCGACTGGGAAGTAGTTAGACATGACGTGCTCGCCAGCCATGGCTGATCTGCACGCGGTTTCATAGGGCATGACCCATAATTCGGGGTTCTCCTTGCCGTCGTACTTCTGAAGTTTTTCAAGCTTGAAGTTCTTGGGCCATATGACTTGGCAAAGGTGTGGAGTAAACTGCTTCAAACCCAGAGGGCCGTGGGTAGTATCATATTCCATACGGCGATAGCTTTCGTGGGATGCATGATCGTTGGCTCTTTGATTAATGCAATCGCGCAGATCGCGTTCTCTGAGGTAATGGCAAAGATCGTTATTGCCATCATGGCGATCCCGGTTGCCACCCTGGATAACCCTGCGATCGCGATTATCATGGTGATTATCGCGGTTGTCTCGGCGGTTGTCGTCCCGGTAGCCGCGGCGATTGTCGTCCCGACCACCATCATGGCCACCGTTCCCGCCTTGACGGTTGTCTGATGGGTTGTTGTTGCGTGAGCCACGTTGGTTGGGTGGCTGTTAGTGACTTGAGTACTGGCGGCTGTGGCTTGATTTGACTGAGACGGATGGAGCCCGGGCTTGATTTACAATCTCTGCGGTCTGGGCCATAGCAGCCGTCAAGTAAGCTTGTATATCATCACGAACTGCCTGGGTTTCTGGGGTATTGGGTAGTCGTTGCATTGTCACCATAGCAACAGCTACGTTGGCGCTTGGGGTCCTGAAGACCTGCTTGTCCCCCCACCCTATCAAAGGCATTGTTAAGGTCACGCGGCTGGACCCTTATGCGTCGTGCCTCCTCTTCAGCCTCGGCTTCGATTTGTCGATGATTAAATCGGTCAATATTGCGTGCTAGCCTTTCTTGTTCTGTTTCGCCGACAGCTGGTGGTTCATCATTACTGACAACGTTGATCAAGTCTCCTCGCCCTAGTGGGAAGGATGGGAATCGTGGGAACCCCGGGGCGTGGTCTGGGACATCCAGATCGTATTCAACGCCTTCATCATCATGATGCTGGAGCTCGGTGTGGATGGAGCCATTAGATGCGGTGCTAGACGTGGAGCTTGAGCCACCCTCTCGAACTGTGTGGACCGATCCTTCTTGGAACTCCTCGATCCGGACCATGTTGATGAAGTTGCGTGGTCTTGGCCAAGATCGTTGCATACTGTACACATAGTTGGAAGCAGTGTTTCGCAGGCCGTAGGGCTGAGCCTGGTAATTCTCCATCGAGGTTTTGTATTCGGAGAGCTGGAGACCCGTCGCGGGGGCTGGCCGGCGACGAACGGAGCGCCCTTCAGGAGTAGATGTGACCACGAGATCCATACCGAGTCGTACAGGACGACTGGCCCGAGCTGGTCGGGTAGATCTGTTGTGGGTAGCGGTTACCTGCTCATTAGGTTGACTTTGAATTGAACTTACCAGAGCTAGGGTTTCGGCAAGTTTGGTGCCGACCCGATCGATGGAGTCGAGCAGGTCGGTGTTGTTGATCTGCTTCCCTTTGTAGCGAGGAAGCGGACGACGGGTTGTCGGCGTGGCTGAAGGCGATGTGGATGTGGTCGGAGCCAGATCCACCATGGTCGGAGCCAGATCCACCGTGGTCGGAGCCGTAGCCGATGCAGGTGAAGCAGTGGTCGACGTGGATTGAATCCGCGCCTCCTCTGTGATCATGGCGATGAAGTCGTCGGAGCCAGTGGTCCAGGTGATCGGGCCGACGGTGAACGTGAGGCCGTTCGGCGTAGCCACGGAGCCGGGGATGATGACCATCTTGTTCACTTGGAGAGCAGTACACACACCTCCTACCTGGCGCGCCACTGTCGACGAAATATGGTCGGCAGTCTACCTAGGGGTATGCCTAAGGTAGTAGATTATCGGTAGACAGGTGCGCAAGCTACGAACAAGATGACGACGCAAGACAGACACGAGGTTTTATCCAGGTTCGGCCGCCGTGAGGGCATAATACCTACGTCTTGCGTCTGATTGTATTGTTGTATGTCAATGAGATGTGTTTTTTAGAGGGGTCCCCTGCCCGCCTTATATAGTCTGGGGGCAGGGTTACAGATCTGGAAACTAATCCTAACCAGTTACAATTGTCATAGGTGGCCGGATAAGGATTCCTATTCTAACCGATCAGGATCTTGCTTGATCTCCAAATCTGCCTTGATTCCTTACACGGGACTCCAAACAGATTGGCCGGACCGAGCGTTGTCTTCTAGTGGGCCAGATCCCCTAGTCCGAGCCAGCCCGATCCTAGCCATAAGGGTATAGGGGTTAATACCCCCACACCTGATTTCTCGGGTCCTTACCGAGCGGGCGTCCCCGTTCGGTCGTTCCTAGTCGGTTCCGACCGTGCCGGTCGGAGAAGAGCCGCAGGCAGAGGTTTGGTGTGTTCTTGGTCGGAGACGCGGGTCAGAGTCAGAAGCGAGCGTCGCCCCTCTCTGGTCAGGCCTTCCAGTCGGAGAAGTGGGTCAGAGTCGGAAGCGAGCATCGCCCTCCCTGGCTAGGCCTTCCGGTCGGAGAAGCGTGTTAGAGTCGGAAGCGAGCACCGTCCCTTCTTAGCCAAGCCTCCCGGTCAGAGAGGTGGGTCGGAGTCGGAGACGAGCGTCGCTCCTGCTTGGCCAGGCCTTCCGGTCGGAGAGGCGGGTCAGAGTCGGAGACTGGATCACTTTTCTGACCTGTCGTTAGGTATCTAGGGCGGCCTAGGAGTTGCGCGTCGTTGACAACGTCGTCTGCTGGGCCGAGCTTTTTGCTGGGAAGCAGGCCCATTAGGGACCCCGGATTTACGAACCCGACACCTAAAGCGTGAGATAATTTGGGACGAGTAGGGGCTAGATGATTTGACGCTACAGCTCTCCACCTGCAGGGGCAAAAGCAGCATGCACCGAGCGCGCGCATGGTGGCAGACTGGCAGGCACCTGTTGTCCGTGTCAAAGGGAAGGAGAGGAGAGTGATGTGTGGCGTGTGGGCCTGCTACCGCTTGCACGTCTCATCACCTCCGTCGCAGCACATCATCTGACGGCTCCGAGGTCAGCGCTAAGATCTATGGCGTCGAGCTCGGAGCCATGTATTCTGGCGCCGAGGTACCGGTCACGTCAACGCCACCTAGGATGACCTGTTGTACACGGCCAGGCACCTCAGAGCCAAGATCTGTGGTGTCGAGACGTGTTACCTCGACACCATGAGCTACGGCGCCGACCCCTAGGGTCTAAAGATGAGTTTACGTCTCCCAGGGGGTAAACATAAGTTTTCTTTTAAAAAAGGGCCAAACTGCAAAAAATGGGCATAGAGTGGTACCTGGAAGGCGGCCACCGACCCGTCGCCGGGGACCTTACGGTACGTGGTCGTCACGAGGGGCGGGCCGCCGGAGATCGCGACGGTGGACTCGAGCGGCGCCACCAGGTTCCGCACGGGAGTGTGGAACGGGCTATGGTTCAGCGGCATCTCGGAGATGGCGTCCTACGCCGACGAGTTCGCGTACCATATGACGGTGAGCCCCGGCGAGATCAGATACGGGTACGCCACCAGGCCCGACGCGCCGCTGTCCCGCCTCGTCCTCAACGACTCCGGAGTGGTGGAGCGCCTCGGGTGGGACCCCGGTAGCCGGGCGTGGAACAACTTCTTCCAGGGCCGGGGCCTCGGGACGTCTGCGACAAGTACGACATGTGCGGGCCGTCCGGCGTGTGCAACGCCAGCGCGGCGGCGACATCGTTCTGCAGCTGCGTCGTGGGGTTCAGCCCCGTGTCCCAGACGGGTGGTGAGGACCGCTTGCTTATGTGCTTGGGTAGCCAAAGAGCTTCTCTCTACAAAGAGGGTTTGGGCTATACCCCCAAGAAAGGCAAGACGGCCTTTGCTCCTCACAAGACTAGTTTTATGAAGAACAATAGTTGGTTTTACACTAGTTGCAAGCAAGTTGGTCATGTAGAGCAAAAGTGAATGAACAAAAAGTCACAAGCTAATATATCCTCCATTAAGTTTGATTCTTTTTATGTACTTACAAAGGGTGCAAATGTTATAAATGCTAAGTTCATTGGTAAATCATGGATTGGCTCAAAGAAAAAAGCCATTTGGGAACAAAAGAGTTTAGTGACTAACCTTCAAGGATCTAAGCAAGTTTTGATACCTAAAAAGAATTGATCTTCTTTTGTAGGTTAATTACAAAGCCGAAGAAAGACATTGGGTTCTTGATAGTGGGTGCACTCAGCACATAACCAGTGATGCAAAAATGTTCAACTTATTCAACACCAATGACAATGCTGATTATGATAGTATCACGTTTGGTGGGACCCCGGCAGCCGGCGCGTGGAACAACTTCTTCCAGGGGCCCCGGGGCGTCTGCGACAAGTACGACATGTGCGGGCCGTCCGGCGTGTGGAACGCCAGCACGGCGGCGACGTCGTTCTGCAGCTGCGTCGTGGGGTTCAGCCCCGTGTCCCAGACGGGTGCCGGCAGAACGTGCCGCTGGACTGCGGCGGCGATGGCGATGGTGACGGTGGCAGGAGGTCCACCGGCAGCACCGAATGGTTCGCCGTTTTGCCGGGAGTGAAGCTGCCGGACATGGTCGACTCGCGGTCGCTGGACACGAGCGTCACGTTGGATCAGTGCAGGGCGAGGTGCCTTGCCAACTGCTCCTGCGTGGCGTATGCCGCGGCGGACATACGAGGAGGAGGCGACGGCACAGGATGCCTCATGTGGGCACGAAACCTCATTGACCTACGGTACGTAGATGGAGGCCAGACCCTCTACCTACGCCAGGCTAGGCCTGTATCTGGTATGAGTACACCTCAACTGCTGTACTAGTAATTTGGAGATTTTTCACACAACAAAACTAATAAGACTTTAGTTTGGTTCCAAAGGTACCAAAACTTTTAGAAGAAATCTGAAACTCATATTTTTCTGATTTAAAATAAATCAATTATAAACCTTTAAAGATCAAACCAAGTTTTTATTATTTCTATCTAGAAAATAAAAACCACTTTTATAACCTGTCAAAGGACTAGGTTTTGACAGTTGGAGGATGTCCGTTACCCTTTTTTTCATAGTTTAAAATTGAAAATCGAATTTACGTGTAACTTAGAGGTTAAAATATATATATTCTACCATTTGAATCAGGACCACGAAAATGGGATAAGAAGAAACACATGGCGGTCCTTCTAGCAGCTGGATCAATACTGGGCGCCATCGCTCTCCTCTCCTTGGTTTTCTTTGCTGTGAGGGCGGCTCGTATAAGACGTATGACGTCCATACTATCATTGTTCCTTTCTCCTTACATTTTATCTAAATATTTACTAAGAACGAATTTGGGAGAAATTGTTGCAAGATTGTATCTGACACAAAAAATGATTAATTAGGTCCGAACTTGATAATACAAATTGCAGAGGCGGTACAAACCGCCCATAGTCCCCTGTTGCTCCCATTGCTCTGGCCATCGTCAAGAGCGCAACAAGAAATTTCTCCAGGCGGAATGTGGTCGGTGAAGGTACTTTTGGCATCGTATATGAGGTCACAACAGATGAAAAAGTTTATTACTACTTTTTACGGTCACAAATAAAATCTTATTTTTGTTCAAGTCACCTTTTTAAAAACTTTGATCATTAATATATAAAATTTTACGAAATTTGGTACAGGACACTACTCTTTCGTGTGAAATTGCCAGAGGACATCAGATTTTTTTTTTCTTTGCTGTAGTACACCGGGAGATGTCCTACAAAGAAAGAAATTAGGGCTTAGTTTGGCAGGGCTCCTTCCTGCCTCCCGGCTCCGGCTCCTCCGAGTCCCGCCAAACGCTTCGTCGAAGAGCCATTTTGAGAGAAAAAAAAGAGAGCTGAGACATTTTGGACGAGCCACAAAGCTCCTCCGAGGAGCCCCCTCCGGAGGAGCCCCGCCAAACACCCCTTTAATATCCCACAACAAAGAAAAAAAATATTCCAAATATCCCCACAGCCAATTTCACATAAGTGGAGTGTCCCATAGCAAAATAATACAATAATATTGACATTGCTAGGTTTGTTGTAAAAATTATTTCATAACATATAACTCTTTTCATATAAGACAATATGTATTTTTATGGATATTCTAGTCAATGTTAAAGAAAATTGACTTAGGATAGATTTAGATAAATTATATATGTGATACGATGAAAATTGGTCATGACTGACAGATTCTAAAACTAGGCTTGTAGTTTGTTGTCTCTGATTCTCTGTTAGTCAGTGGTGATCCACAGATTCAGATTTTGCTTGTCAAAAATATTACGAGGGTTTTCAAGCAGCAGCTAAAGGAGGAGAAGCTGCTCCAGCTGCACGCAGCTTTTCCTATCTCTGCTAATCACTGTAACAATAGCCTATAATAACAGTTTTTTGGTGCAGCTGAGCCCCGGCTATGTTGGGTGTACTTTAGCTACACACTTTTTAGGCATGTTTGGTTGGTTGGCCAGCTTATTTGGGCCAGGCAACACCTTCTATCTCCAAGCCCGCTAGACAATTTTCCTACTGTCCAAACCAGACATGTTAAAATTTCGAGTTAATTATTTTTTTAGACAAAATATCAGGATGGTTCTTGTGCTAGAACTTCGGTTGCTAGGAAAATGAAAATTTTTGAGACAATGGATTTTAATTGCTAATCACTGAACTGAACAGTGGTAATATAAGCCAGGTGGGGACTGGGGAAGCTCTCCCCACCATAGGTTCTCTTTTAAAAAAAGAAAAAAGAAAAAGAGAGTATAACTCTGGTGTGTGAAAATCCATTCTTCTGCAGGGCAAGCTACCCAGAGGACATCCGCTCCTCCACGGACTATCCGGGAGAGCAATTGCCGTGAAGAGACTGAAACCGATCAGTGATCTTCCGGAGGCAATCGTGAGCTATTTCACAAGAGAAAAACAGGTGATGTCCGGGCTGCAGCAGCACCAAAATGTGGTCCGGCTTCTTGCCTACTGCGAGGAAGGCGGCGAACGAATTCTGGTGTACGACTACATGCACAGGAGGAGCTTGGATGCATACATATTCGGTACAAACCTACTGAGTCCGGCCAGATACATTTCGCCTTCTGATTTCTGAACACTGCCCCCCAGCCTGTTCTGTTGACATGAGTATATACTGCTTCTTGTTTCAATCGTCAGGGAAACCAACGGATCGCGCGTTGCTGAATTGGCAAAGGAGGCTGCAAATAATCCAGGGGATTGCCGAGGGCGTGAAGCACCTGCACGAGGGAGAGGGGTCGGCCGGCAACGTGATCCACCGGGATCTGAAGCCGGCCAATGTGCTGCTGGATGGCGGATGGCAAGCCAGGTGGCCGACTTCGGGACGGCCAAACAGCTGCAGCTCCCTGCTGCTGGAGCTACAGGGACTCGGACGATAATCGGCACACCGTAAGCAGTAACAATGTCACTGATGATTCTCCTTACTTTCTTACTGTCTCTGTAAACTCACGCTGTCTTCATGAACACTCCTATGTCGGTCTTACGAAGTGGCTACATGGCTCCGGAGTATGTTCAGAGCGAAGGTGGCGAGACGACGCTGAATTGCGACGTCTACAGCTTCGGCGTCACGTTGCTGGAGACGTTGGCTGGCCGGAGGAACTGGGAGAGGCAAAGCCTCGTTTCAGAAGTAAGCAGACTGAACTTCTGCTGGTAGCCTTTCACTCTACTCATTTTCTCTGCAAATAAGTTGTGCTATCTGGGAGCTGATCTGAAGAAAATGCAGGCCTGGAGGCTGTGGGCCGAACGCAGCATTACGGCGCTCCTTGACTCCGAGGTTGCACCGGCGCCTGCCAAGCCCGAGCTTCGTCAGCTAGGCAGGTGCATCCATGTCGGGCTCCTTTGCGTCCAGGAAAAGCCGGGCGATCGGCCATCCATGTCCGAGGTTGTGGAGATGCTGAGCAGCAGTACCAGCGCGCAGCAGCAGCTTGTTGAGCCCAGGGTGCCCATGGTCGGCAGTAGGATTCTGGCTATGATTCTGGAGTCAGATGCAGATGCAGCAGACCTCTCGAGGCCGACAGTGTACGAGACAATGGGCCAGACTCGAACATAAGGGGCATATGCTGCTGCTAGTATTATTTCATTATTTGCACTCTTGCAGATTACAGTACGTGCTAGTATATTATTATACTTGTACGCTGACGTATGTGTTGTTAGTGCTGAATGTCGTCACGTGGACATTGGTCCATGAAGCCCACATAGACATAGGTCGTGTAGCAGATTGCAGAATGGGCCGGCCCTGTACATAACATGCTTTTCAGTGCTTGCCATCCGCAGCTAATAGTGCCACCTCGGCTGCCCAAGCTGATGGACGCCAGGTTAAAAGTTCAGCTCAGGAGCCATGCATCACGACCTTACTTGAACAGGATCTGTTCTATAGGATCGTACCGCTGCATCCTTTACTAATAAGAAGGCAAGCACTTAAGCCTGGTTGATGAGTCATGACCTGTGGGCCAGAGCGTGATTAATGGCCAGGATTATCTTTAATCTAGTGCTGTAGAGGATCGTTTCCAGCCAGGCGCAAGCTTGGCTAGGATGGGCTCATGGGTTGTCTGACAGGCCTTTTTGTTTTTTGGCTTCCCAACTCTTCAGTATACACTTTTGGATACATTTCATTCCAAGTACTGAGCAACCTGCATAGCTATTGCTGCTTCCATGCTTCCATTTTTACATTCAAGATAGTCCAGATGATAGAGATTATCTGACTTCAGTCCCTGCTCAACTCAAAAACTGTTAAAACTTGTCCTTGACTAATAAGGAGGCAAGCACTTAAGTCTGGTTGATGAGTCATGACCTATGGGCTAGAGCCTGATTAACGGTTAGGATTAGCCCTGATGCTAGTAGAGGATCGTTCCTTGCAAGGTTCACCTGGCTGGGGTGGCCCATTTGTCTGACAGGCTCTTCTTTGTTTTTTTGCTGTGCTGCATTTGAAGGCAATCTTGTGCAAAATATTACTTCCAGCAGCTGTCCATTGCTCTCGACTTAAAACAGCTGTCTTCTTGCTGACCATTGCTCTCGACTTAAAAGAGGCGGATCACTTGCTCGGTTTTGCCATTATTAATAGATCAAGCTTTTCTTTTTGTTTTTGCTGTGCTGCATTCAAGGTAATTCCTGTCAACAGCTGTCTTTTTGCTCAACATTGATTTCTTGCTCGTTTTTGTCATTCATACAGCAAGGAAGTTTTCCTTTTGCTCTGCTGCAGCCAGCATTTGAAGGAAATTTGAACAAAAAAAATTCCTGACGAGGCTCCCCCCGTGTCGTCTCCCCGAGGCGACTCGGGAGCGACTAGGGATAAAAACGGTCGGAAAACCTCTCAATCGTTTTCTACTTCTACATTTGAATACTGAAAATGAAAACAAAAGCGGTAAAGCCGCATACAAAACGAACACGAACTTCATTTAAATATCAAAATTTCGAAAACGAACTAATTCGAGCGGAATTATGTCGAACACAGTCGGTACGAAAAATCAATACGGAATATTGACCCGTAGGACCAAGTGCATAACAATTAACAAGTACATAATAACTAACAAGTTCTACAACTTTCTTAAAAAGTATCTCCATTCCACACGATGTAAGGAAGATACAGCGACGGATCCAGGAAATATTTTAGGGGAGACTGAACAACACATAACTGCTCGATCTTAAGTCTCAGCCCCCTACATTATAGAACTTTACCTAAAAATTCATAGGGCTCTACAGGGTTTTCCACAGCTCCGGTATGGATAGGTGGGGCTCGAACCGAATTTGAATTTGTCCGAAAATACGAATTCGATCGGATTAAATGTAGAAAACGATGCGGTTCGGTATGGGATATTTCGGTACCGTTTTCATCCTTAGGAGCGACACACTCGCCGCCCGCACGGCTCCGCTTCAAGATCAAGAAGCCCCTCGGACGCCACCACTTGCTCACCGACGAGTGGTGGTGGCGGCTCATGATGCTCAACAAAAGCGCATAAGGGGACCGGCGTGGTGGCGTGCCCGTGCCCTACGAGGCCAGATCTGGTGCCTGCATCCATGGATCCAGCGGCGATGGCATGGCGGAGCTTAAATGGTCGGCTCCCTTCGAGGCGGGCCTTGCTGCTAGCGCCGGTGGTGATGGCGATGGCGTGGCGGAGCTTGGAAGGCCGGCGGCGAGCACGAAGCTCCGCATCCGGGTTCTCTGGGCCCGGATCCAGTGGAGGCGTGGCGCACTCGGTTGGACGTGTGCTGCGCGGCGCCGTGCTCCTGGCGGCGGGCATGGAGTTCAAGCTGCACGGAGCTTCGAAGGCCGGCGGGATCCGGTGCCCCCTGCCTCGGATCTGGCACGTCGGGCCCGAGTGGGCGCGGTGGTCGGCAGCCATACTGGCGGCCAGCAGGCAGCTGGTGGGCGCACTAGGGCATGTATCCGGTGGCCTCTGCCCGGATCAAGCGCGCGTGGCGATCGCTACGCGCGATAGCGATCGGGAGGACGGAGGCCCCGAGGGTGCCCGCTTTGTCAGCGGCAGGGGCAGCTAACTCCGGCTCCACATCCCTCACAGCGCCAAGACAATGCGCCGGTCGCGGCTTGCAAAGGCGATCCAGCGTGGCGGGTTTGTCTGCTCGCGGCGGGCGGTTCGATACGCGGCTCGAAGGTGCATTGCTCCGCCACGGTGTGTTCCCAGCGACGGAGGCCGGCTCGGGGACCCAGCGTGGGTGACGCTTTCTGCTGCCGCTGGTGTAATGGCAAGGCCAGTGCGTTTCAACAAGGACATGTTCATCGGGCCCGTTCTCATGGGCCCACCATCGACGCGATGGTGGCGCCCGTGTCCTTGTTTCGGCGCCGGCGCGGCGCTGCGCTGCGCTTAACGGGCTCGGTGGACGCCATGCGAGATCGCTGGCGATGGATGAGCTCCACGAGCCGCGCCCGCCGCCGGATCCGCGCTTCTGTGTTTCAGGCATCGCGGCAGCAAGGAGGTGGTGGATGCGCTCCTCGCCGAGGGCCTCGTCAAAGCACCTCCTCTCGCAGACGACGACGGGCTATAGTTCACGGGTTTGGGGAGCTTAGGCGAAAGCCATGCACGACCCTGTCTGTGCGACTGACGGCGGCGCCCTCCGGCGTCGTTTACCTCCTTGGAGGCGTCGATGTGTAGGCTGCTCAACCCATGATTGTAGTATTGTCCCTCTCGTCCTGGTGAAAACCTAGGTCTAGTTATCTGGAGCCGGTGGTGGCGTCAACGACGTCGTGTCCCTCTCGAGGGCGCCACTGTGGAGGGGCAGATTTCGGCTCCCGCTATTGCGATGGCCAATCCGCGCTTGCAGCATCTTCTAAGCAGGTTCCAGGACGTGGTGCTCTATTCATCGATGGTGGCGTCCGTGGACGTCACTCCTTCTTGAAGGCATCGATGCAAGCATACCCGCTTCCGTGCGTTCCCCCACGCGCCCTTGTGCTCTCCTCCGTTGCTCTCCTCCCCATCTTGTTGTAGGTATGGCTACCCTCCTACCCCTTGGCCTCTGCAAACACTACTTGTTGTCTGGTGCTTGCCATCAACGGCTTGCTCTGTCGTTCTCTACATCACTTGAGTGCTTTGGCTCATCATATGCTGAGTGGCGGGGACCTTGATCTCCTCTCTGGATCTACTCGTTCTCCTCCTGGCGACCCTCCTCCCTTGAGGCTTCCTTCCCCCAAATGGCGTTGGCGGGCGTTGGTTGGAACTCAGATGCGGTCTTAGGCGATGCTACTCACGGCTGCCGCCTATTGGCTCTGACTCAATGCCTTGTAGCTTCCTGGCTGCCGTCTGTCGGATCCCACTCAATACCTTATAGCTGCATGTGATGTGGAGCTCTTCGGAGTATGTCTTTGGTGGTGGCATATGTTAGGAAGTTGTGTTTGCAGTCGCTTCAGCCAGTAGGCGGACTTGGTAGCTGAATCATGTTGTGTTTGTGGTTGTTGTGTTAAGTGTTGTATTCTCTCTCTCCTTAGTCCTTATCATGTACCTCTCGGAACTTTGTATTGGGATTGGCGCCATGCCCTTTCACCTTCCGGCTAGTCCGGCATCTGTGGAATGAAATTCAGGTGGGGAGGCCTTTCTCCCCCGGTGTTGACCTCAAAAAAAAATTTCCTGACAACAGCTGCTTGCTCAACATTGTTCTCAATTTAAAAGGGGCAAATCTCTTGCTCGTTTTTACCATTAATAGAGCAAAACTTTTGCTACACTTTGTTTGCCGTAAGTTGCTTATTCATTTCTGACTGTATGCGTTGTTGAGAAATGGTGATTCTTGCTACTTGATCTGCACAAAGTTCACAGTTGTTCATACTTCATACTACAGCCGTATTCAGAGTATGTCTGCAGTCTGCATTCTGCAGTGCAAGTCTCACTATCTGCCAACTGCAATGCAAAAGACATACTGTTTACTTGGCCTACATCAGTGAGCATCAACAACAGCTGATCAGGACAGCTGCCACCGGACGGTGCTGAACTCCAGGTCTCCTACATGCCTGTGTTAGAATTAGATTAGAAACCTGCATGCCTTCGGTCGCCACTTGCTGGCACGGGATCCATCGAGAAACCCATGTGGACCGCGGCCCAAGACAGAATGCTAATAATCTACAGCTCTGTGAACTAAACCCTGACGAAACACTAGCAAACATGGAAGGCCGCTTGCATCCGTGGATCCAGCGGTGATGGCGTGGCGGAGCTTGGAAGGCTGGCGGCGAGCACGAAGCTTCGCATCCGGGTTCTCTGGGCCCGGATCCAGCGGAGGCGTGGCGCACTCGGCTAGACGCCTGCTGCGCGGCGCCGTGCTCCTAGCGGCGGGCATGGAGTTCGAGCTGCACGGAGCTTCAAAGGCCGGCGGGATCCGGTGCCCCCTGCTCGGGATCTGGCGCGTGGGGGCCGAGCGGGCGCGGTGGCCGGCGGCCATACTGGCGGCCAGCAGGCAGCCGGTGGGCGCACTAGGACACGTATCCGGTGGCCTCTGCCTCGGATCTGGCGCGCGATAGGCGGCGCGGCGCAGCGCGGTAGCGACCGGGCGACGGAGGCCCCGAGGGCGCCACTTTGTCAGCGCCGGGCGGCTAACTCCGCTCTCGTCCCT